AGCATACGCGTATGGCAGTGGCAGGTGAAACTAAAGAAACTGAACTTAATGGACTTCTAAAGGCACTCCCTCTCTCTGACTCTCTCCTCCAGCTCCCCCCCAGAAAAACACTCGCCTGTGATGTTCTCAAGCTGATCATTGTGGTGGATGCCCAGTGAACGGCCAATCACTGTCAGCTTCGTAAAGCCGGAGATTTCACCTGAGCCAGTCCTAAAGATCCTAAAGCTCGAAAGCTCCAGTTTGCTGTCGAATGGGTTCTTGGAGAAACATGTTGACAAGCACGCACGCACACACCTACACCTTAAGCATCCCCGAGCCCAATTCCCGGCGACCGTTCAGAATGGGGTCTTGATGTAACATATAAGAGCGGCAGCTGCAGCTGAACCAACAAGGAGAATGGAAGCATTGAATCCTCTGCTTGGTGTTATCCAATTCTGGATGGGCTCTTTACAGGAAATGGCTAGCATGGAGCAACTGCCCACCCGCAGCGAGGCTCACGATCTTAGCCTAGTGGCGCAGCCGGTGGTTGAAATAAATGTTCAAAGAGCCCCCTATGACTTCGAGATTGGACAAGCCCGAGATATCTGCAAGCTGGGCATTGTACCGAATCTCCACGTTGCCACCTCCAGGCCAAATTAGGAGGCTGACTCCGGCTGATGGTGTATGTGCATGTAAACAGTCACAGACCACCATCAGTCACATCAATAGCACCTTCGACAACCTCTGAGGAAGTCAGTTGCCCTGGCCCTAGAACATGACCAAATCCGCTCACAACCGCGTGAGCCTCATTATCGTTTCTTGGAAGCTGTTGCGTATTGTGTGTAGTCAAAATTTCACAGGTTTCACAGACAGAATCCGGTTGCAGCATGCATGGAACACAAGCCAAGAATCCCCTGCAAAAATCATGGAGCAACCCCGAGAGCACAAAATAGAACATGGAACTCGACAGCCGGTTTGTAGAATACTCCCGCTTTGATGCATGTTTTCATCCTTTCCGCATGCCCCTCTGCACATCAGGCCTACGGTCTGCAGGTTGGCCAACAGGCTGAGATCTGTGAGTTTGATGTCATCCACGACCACCAAATCCCTGCTCACATGTCCTTGACATCAGACATCATCGTACCAATCGCAATCTTCCCCTAGGCCCTAATCAAATGCATCAATGCTGATTGATGATGATGATGATGATGATGATGATGATGATGATGATGATGATGATGATGATGGGTTGGCTGTAAAAAGTGTGCGAATATGTGCGAATTGGAACTAACAGTCGAGTATGTATAGTTCGGCAACTTTGTCCAAACTGAAAGGGGCTTGCAAAAGGACTCTCTGAGTACGGGGTTGCTACAGTGCTGCACGATGAGCACGCCATGCCGTTCACCCAGTCATTTTGGAACATGCATTGCTATGTATTTCACCCTGTTATCAACTTTGGAAGAGGATATCTCGGTATCTCATTCTGGCTCAGATGGGCTGGTCTCTTCCAATCTTCTCCCAGGTGTCGGATGCTCAGTAGCTCGCTCTCGTTGATGGCCACGCCATGCAAATAGGCACCAGCATAAGTGAGGATCAGCTCAGGAGGCAGCAGGCGCCAACCGAAGCAGGTCCTCGTCATGTTGGGCAAGGGAGCTCAAAGCTGGGTCTTCACGGCGTGGAGTGAATAGGAGTGATGTGGTTTGATGAACACCTCCCGCTATTACTCCCCCTTTTGTCACTCAGTGCTGGCCAAATCACAGGTGTTAACTTCAGAAAAGAAAAAACTAATGTTTTTCCTGGAGCCACCCAACTGCGCTCACACATACAAAAGGAACATCACAGCAACATCCCTCTCGACCCTCATCTTGGGTGACTACGCACGTAATTATAAATTATGCTGTATTAGACATATATATATATATACATTTTTTAGTTTGTGTATTTATTGATTGATATTTATATTTATTTATACATATGTGTATATATATACCTATGTTTATATATATATATACACACATCGTGACCATCCCTAGTTGTCCTTGCAACGGACTTTTTAAGACAGCTCTCTTTGGTGACCTACTCCAGCCCTTCGTGCCATGCATCAGATTCAAGGTAGAGTAGGTCTTTGGCAAATCTGGCAAATCTGGCAGCGCCACACAGGCAATGAAAAAGCTCAGCAACAGGCCATGACGAGGTCCCATGGACGTCAAGGTAAGCACTACATGGGGCGAAGCCGCGAAGCCGCACGGCGCACAGCGGAGGCCCCTGGTTCGTCTTCTACCACTTGCCCCATGAACAATCTCTGGTGTGCAGCAGACCTCCATGTTCTGCGTGTACATCATGAAGTTTGACCATGGTCACGTGAAATTGCAACTTGCTGAAAGTGGAGAAACTTCTTGCTCTGCTTTGGCCCAAACCCGGGAAAATGGAAGGAAATGGACGTCAAGCTTGATCCAGCGAAAAGTCACAAATGTGTCAAGAAGAGCCCAGGAGGAGATACGAAGGAAACAATTGAGTGTATGGTGAGCCTTTCATCGCCTTTCTGAATCTAAAATGATCAATTGAAAAGAACCTTCGCGTGATCCCATTGCCCCCTGCCGATGCCTCCTGGTCCCGGCACTCTAGCTTGCACTGAGCACCCCAGGTGCTTGGATCAGCCCGGTCCTGCCGGGCTTTTCGCCATGCGGAAAACCATGGTCCGGTCTCTCGGCGATTGTTCATGAGTAGCCCATGGATAGAAGGCGAGCTTTTCATTCAAAAAGGGCACCCCCTCCACACCCCAAGTAAGACCCATGAAACACACCTGCACTCAAACGTGTGAATTCGCTGTGCTGCTGGGATTCAGCATGACCTCCGCAACGCTCTTCAAGAACCTGCGCCAGTACCCTATGTAATGTTCTCACGGGTGGAGAAGAACAACGCAGCGATCCGTCCAGCCCAAGGAGGGATTGGAGAGCGGCGGGCCGACCATCAAGTCAAGATCAATCCATTGAAAGGTTGGCTTTGAATCTTCTCAATTCAATAAAGCCGTTCTGGCAAGTTCCCTGGCCGCAAGCGTCAGAGTGTCAAACACTTCATGAGGATCCTCCCCCCAGACCATGTCGATATGCTTCTAGCAAGCCCCTGAGGAGCACAAATACTGATAAAGTCTGACGTTTCCCTCAGAAATCTGTCCAACTACCCCTGTGGAACTCTACCCAGGCGACCTCCAAGTTACCAGGCTGAATCCCGATGCCTATCTGTGGGGCAGCATCGGCGATGAAGGGTTGTGATGTGCAGCTACAGCTACATGCCGCTGATGTTGCTGGGGGGTCACACGCCTGAGAGCAACCATGGACCTCCAGGTCGAAACCCCGGAGCGCGAGCGCGGGTCGGCCCCCAGACCTCTGGGCACTGAACATACATCTCTGTCACATTCCAAGCCTTGGCGAAACTTCGGGTCTCGGGACTGTCGGACGCGAGACGGTCGGACCGGTCCAGCATCGCGACGAGACCTTTGTGTTCACATGCATGCCACCATGTCATCCCACCGATGACCTACACTCCGAGACTGTCGGAAGTGGTCTGTGAATCCATGGTGTGTGCCATGGATTCGCCTCAAGAGTCAAACTGCTTTGTGTCTTCAAAACGGCTAGGAGCATGGTCATGCAAAGAAGAGTAATGATCCATTTGTGAGTCTGGGATTGTTGGGATGTCAGAGGGAGCTCGTGACAGAATGGAAAGCCTTTGGGCCCAAGATCCCGAAGAGTGTTCTTCTTCCTGAGCTCCTTGCTGGGTTGACGCACTTCTTCATGAAGGGGTCGCATACATATTGGATGTTCAGCCGATCGTCCTTCCTCAAAAATCACGCCACGTGAGAGAGGTTCGAAGACCCCTCGACCAATGGGCTCAAACCAACAGTAATTAATCTTCTGCATTCTCAAATGTGTACGTGTGTACATCAGCACAAAGAGAGCCCCTGGGATTGAATAGAACAAGGTCATGAACACCTACAGTATTGGTTTGGATCCCTTCACTTTGCTCTTGCAGCCGCATAAACCCCCAAATGTGTTGCAAGCCGTGCAAAACCATCGAGGGCCCATCGGATCACTCAAAGAGTCCAAACTGATCTGAGGAAATAGACATGACATGTCGTGTCGTTTTAATTGTCCTTTGTGTCATCTATCTCTCTCTCTCTCTCTCTCTCGGCAGCATCTGGCTACAACGCAGCCGTCCCACAGGGACGCGCTGAGGAAGGAGGCTACATTGCTGGACCCGGTGCTGGTGAGGTCTCATAAGCTTTCACTCGAAAGGTCCTGTCGGCCACAACACAGCACCAAGCGTTGGGCCGTGAGCTGAGCAAAATACCAGCAGGAGGCTGAAGAGGCAACCAACCAAGAAACCAACGACCCTGGTGGGGCCCTGAACAATCATTGAGGAGCATGGAGCCACACTCCGCCACCAAAGTGGAAGGTGGCACTTGGATCCTCAGCCACCACTCACCCGGCCAATGCAGCCAAAGCTCTTGCAAAGGTCATTGTGGACACAGCGGTCACAAACCTCGATCCGATCATCTGGCACACTTTTCAAATGGGAAAATGCACCTCTAAGGCTCGCAAGAAAAGTCCATCTGCCAGGGCGGGATGCTGTTTCTTGGTGCCACCCCTGCTAAATCCAACATCTCACATAGAATATTAGACATTTTGGTGAAACAGCGAGGTCCCATGCAATCAACAGGATCGATCGGCATGAGCACAAATTTAAATATACACTCCCTGCGCCAATATGCAAGTGCATAGTGCGCTCATGATTGCCACAAAATGGTCCATCCTTTGTGGGCCTGCGGGCAGAAAATATCCTCGCTTCGTGTCCTAATATGTCTGTCACGCGCAGCTAAAAAGTGCCAGTCATGGCTTTGCCAAGTGGGACTCTTCCAGCTGTCCAAAACTTGAATACTTTGCGTCGTTGTCTTCTCAGTCCCCCGACGCACCCCTTCCGGACAACTTCTTTGTCTCAGAAGAGCTACCTGTCACATCTGCCTGTCACACAGCTGCGGGCCAGGAGTGTCCAAGCCATTGGCCTAAACAGGGCAAAGACATCGAGCAGGTGAACAGTCCAATAGGTGCCCACATTGTCCTCATTGCACGGGAGTGAGGCGGCAACCAACCATGGATGGTACGTAATGCGACCCTGACGTGTCTACTGCTACCTCACCACCAAGCTCCACAGTAGGTTTGCAGGGGAGGTGGGTGATTGGGCGATTGATTTTTGCAGATTGGAAGTGCCTGCGAGCATTTATGTGATGGCGATGGCGACGGCACAGTATATATAAATCTCAAACACTCAGCCCAAGCTTCTTCGCCTGGCTCACCACGATGCATAGAGCCACTCCGACACCCGTCCATGCTAGTGCTGCTGAGGCCACCGTGCAGGTCAAAAGCCAGTCCACCAAGCGTGTAGTGCAAGGCGCTGAGGTCTTCTCACTGAGATAAATGATGCCAGTAAGTAGTGACCAGGCCCAAAAGAGCGCGAAAGAGCTCCAGCAAAGGGCATAACTTAAGATCGATAGGCCATCGGCGCCTCCATGCTTGAGAGCCACTGAGGTCTCGACCAACCAAGCGGCGGTACTGCTAATGCTCATCATCACGTAAGACGGATCCAACTGTCTCGATGTGCCCCGCAGCTCTTCCCGCAGCGGCCCACGCACAAAGTCCCTGAAGGCTTCTTTGCTTCCATACCAATGGTCGATGGCAGCATGAATAAAACGAGTGTCGAAGAAGGAATTGCAAGACACATCATCCTAAGTTTGCCACCAATGCAGCTCAAAGAAAGCAGCATCTTAATTGCTAATTGTTTTGTTCGTCGGCAAGGCTTCCCGCCCACACAACTAACCCCTGTCCAAGTCTTCTCATGGAGTGACCGTTCTTGTCTCGAGGCCTTGCTAAGGGCTGGTGCAGAACTCTTGGTTCTTCCACGCACCACCACTTCAGGAGGCAGCATTGAGGATTGAGGTGTAGGTTGAAACTCGGGGAAAGAAGGAGCACCAAGGGTTTCAAGAAACACACAATCTGAGCAGAAAGCATTTCCGTCATGAGTCACGGAGCACTACAGGTGCAAGCTCAAGTTTAACTGCTTCGGTCGAAAGCCAATGAGTTGACTCAGATGACTCATACAAAACCCTCCATCACTTCCCTCTTATCGCATCTTATCATGTTTTGCATGTTCGGTGCACTTGCCCAATGCCCGCATATCTCGGAAAAATGAGAATTGGTTGATCCACTGTGAAGCTCGTTGTTAATAAACAATTCTTCTACTCAACTAACAACTGCAGTCCAAGTTCTGAACGAATCCTTTCACTTCATTCTATTCCCCCGGTCGATTGTGTCGATTCCCCCCCCCTCCGCCCCAAGCTCAAGAAGGCCACGAAACGACCTCTCACCGCCCCCACAACCAACACATACCATGCCGCCTCGTTGAAACATGTTGAAACCTGGTCTCCCTGTACGGCAAGCAGGGATGTTGTTGTGTTTTGCTTATAGGTCCAGCAATGCCGCTGAGTCTCCAGTTCGAACCGCTTCCTAGGCGTTCAAGTGTCTGGAACCCTGTGAAGGGAGGAAGGTCCAAAAGGAGATCCCTAGGCAGCTTTGAGGGAGCGAATTCCGAAGAGCCGCTATAGGCTATAGCTCAGGCAATCAATTGCTCGATTAGATGGATTGTGGCGCACGTCACCGAATATGTTGTTGCACACACCACCCATAGCTTATCACAAAACTTGAATTTACACAGATCACCCCGAAGCTGGAGAGTGCCAAAGGCTTCGGGCATTTCTGTGATGGCATGCCAAGAAGCAAATCATTCAGCAGCCGCGCCTTCTCGCGGTAGTTGCACCGCGCTACATGCACCAGCGGGAAAACGGGAGAAAACACCGCCTCAAATGCTGGTCAGATTCAAAGATGTTTGCATTAAAGGCCAGCTAGCTCTCTGGTTCTTCTTTCAGCGTTCTCATAACTAATAACTGGCCGATGTCGCTGATGTCCTTACTTTAGTTCATGATTCGTGAGCTATCATTCAGGCAAGGAGCAAATAGCTCCCACCAGAGGTTCTTGAGCTCCCTGTCGTCTTCTATGTAGATGGACAGCACCATGTCAGTCAGAGAGAAGAGGAAAAACATGCAAATCAGAAATGCCACCTGCGGCTTCCGTTGTTGCAGCAAAAACCAGCGACTGATAAACTCTAGGACGCACGGGCACATGGTCCAAATACCAATATGTCGTATGTTGGGATCGCATCTGCAGCAAACAGTATGTCCGTTTGCACCGCCCTTCTGCAAGGCAATAATTAACAAAGGTAGCGCAACTAAATGTTAGGTTTATATATATATATATTTCCAATAAATAATAGTCCAGACATTTACAGTAAGAAAAAATACGTTACCATCGGTGTTCCTTCGGAGTCCCAACGAATTCACGGCCAACTCCGTCAGGCCACGGCTCGTTCCACGAAGAGTGGCTTGAAAACGATCTGCCCACGGGGATTGGCCTTCCGAAACGCCGCGATCTCAAACCTCGAGAGCGGGTTTTGCAGCGAAATGATTAAATGGATAGATGATGATAAGTCCCCTTGCAGCGAACACATCTAATCTAATCCATTGATTTCTTGAGAAACCTCCTTTAACTTGATTAGATGCAGCACTGACGTTAGGAGAAGAAAAACAAACAACCAAGCTAATTAGCACATGTAAAAGTATACAGTATACATAGTGTGAGTGTGTGTGTGTGCGTGCGTGTAAAAAAACAATATATATATATATAGATACAGGAGAAAACTGGACGTGCAATACTAGGCCGCAACCAAGGTGCAGGCACCAAAGCCTCGAAAAATACGGCCGGCTCCAAAGGATACGAAGCTCGTTTGACACTGACAGAAAGCCACCTATGCTGTAAATGCCTCGCTCCTTCAAGTCCTCATCACTCTGGTGGATGCTGGCGATATCGAAGAAGCAGAAAGTGGTCCTCAATGGCAAATAGGGAGACACCATTAGGCCAATGACCAGGGACACCCAGCCGGAAATAATGATCCAAGGGCTGTGTGAACACTCATAGGTCACCCCTCGGGACGTCAACATGTAGTTTCCCCAGCCGGGGACCAGAAGTTGCCATCGCAAGTACGCCATCACCGAGACCCCAATCGACCAGAAGGTCAGGGCATGGGGCCACCCAAATTGCCTCGGGCGAGACGGTCGGCCGAGACGAGCCGGAGAAAAAAGGGGCCTGGACACAACCTCTAAATTAATGCTTGGTGTTACATGAGCAGCCACAGTACACATGGTGCCGTAATCGTATGTGGTATAGTCCGGCTCTTATCTTTACCAAGTGAGAAATAACCTCATTTGCTTCGGGTGCTCTCACTGCCAATGCTACTACTATTCGTGGGCATGGATTGCTGCACATTATTTTGAAAGTCATGTTGCTAGATGCAGGCTGGGGCAGAGAAAAGTTCTTGCTTAAGGATCTACTGTTCGTATTGGGGTTGCAATTATGCCCCGTATTGATGAAAGCTATCCTGCACTAGCTAGGGTTAGGCAATTAGGTCCAAAGATACAACCAAAGGGCACATGCAGGTTTTCAGGTGTCATCCGCTGAATGGTGAGGGAGGATAGCGCACGTTGTTGATGCAATCCCCTCCCAGATCCGAGGGCACTCTGCAACGTACCCATCGTGAACCGGCATACCCTCTTCAAAGGAACAGCGAGAGAACTGAAGGGCATGCCAGCTATCCTGATTGTGAACACTAAACCGACTCTTTATAAGCTGATGGCGTGACACAGGTCACCGCTGACAGAGTTGCAAGCAACCGCCCGTTAATCTAATTACAGTAGTAGTTTTCCATCAACACGGACACTCGATTATGCGCAAGATAAAATGATATCAAGCCGTTCATTCCCCTTAACTGGTGCAAGCTGAAAGGGAGCCAACCTTCCAACCACCTATATAACAAAACGCCACCGAGAGCTCTATCTATAACCAGGTCGTTGTACCTCCCTCCCGCAATGCCGGGCCCAGAAGTGAGACATGCCACATGAGCAAGGAGAGGATCTTCCAGCGGCCAGGAGTACACCATGTGTGCGACAAAAAAAATGTCGAAGCTTCTCACCGTCGTCATTGATTGCCACAATGCGGATGAACGATCTGTGTTACGGTAGTGGCCTGGCAAGAAGTCTGGGAGTCGGGTCGAGTCTGCACAAATGCTTACAATACCACATATTATGCTATATATATATATATCAACAGCACCAGTGGTTGCATCGGGTCCCCCATTTGTTTGTTGTCCAATGGGTCATCTATTGGTTATCTTCAGAGCTTCACCACGTCAATGAGACGTACTGTAACAATCTGCACAAATCCCCCGACGCCGGGGCACTCGGCCAGAGCCAAAGACCTGGCTTGCGAAGCGCTTGCTGTAGCTGGATGCCCCGGGTGATCTCGAAATCCACCTGCCAAGGTGCACACACACACCATGTGTTCGCATAATGTCTTGACACCTGCCGCTGTCGTCACGCGGCACTAAGGACATACCAAGAAGAAAAGACCTTCACGGCGGAGGCTCGGTCGATCTCGGCATTTTCGCAGCGAAGCCTAGCCTCCAGGTGTCTCATCTCTTCCAGGATCAAATACTTACCTCAACTGATGGAAGAAATGAGATATCCATGATTTCTGTTGGGGATCCTGCAATGAAAGTTGGGTAAAGACAAAGGGGCTTTGTGGTTGATCAAATCTTCACTCCCATGAAAGTCAAACAGGTGCTCCCAACAACAACCATAAAAACAACAGCGAAAGCCCACAGACACTCTTTTCTGATGACCACATTAAGATGCATTGAGCCTGTTCAAGTGTGCTTGTAGGTTGCAGTGAGGGGCAGCAAAACGAAACACAATAAAATGGACTCCAAGTTGCTGGACACTTTTGCCACCATAGGCGCATCACTCACGGCAGCGCTGCTAGAACAACTGTTGGCCCTGCCAACCAGCGGGGGCAGGTCATTCAGATACTTTTCACAACTTTCGCCGCTGCTGACCGGGCCCAGCTCACTGGAATGCGTGTGCTGCACTTCCTCAGCCTCAAGTAAGTATCAGCTAACAAGAAAGGAAGAAAACTCCAGGGCTAAAAGCCATAACACCGGTTTCACCTTCCTAGCCCACGGGTTTTCTTCAACGCCCAAACAGCTCCACCTCTCTAACCAAATCGGGCGAGGTGCTTCGATCCTTGAGGCTACAATGTCTTCCTTGGGCTGGTCCTCTTTGGCAGGACAACAGGTCTGCCGAGCTCCCATCCCGCGAAGCTTACGGATGGGGGACGCGTCGGGAATGCTCTGGGTGCTCTGGATGCACTGTCGTTTTCTCAGCTCACGCACTGCTGTCAAGATTCACCCTGACTTGGCAATCAGTTGCTGGAGAAGCTGGATCAATCATTGGAACACCCTTCAGAATTGATCGCATGCATCTTCAAACATTCATTTGTGCCTTGAGTGCCTTATCTGAGCCATCCAATTCCATTCCCTCCGGTGTTTGAGACCCTCATGCGTAAGAAATGTCGGGAGTTTCACCCCTGACACAGAAACCACCTGCAGCAAGACCACACCTTCTGAATTGCTGTCTTAAAATCAACCCTGCTGAAACAAACATTTACAAACCCAAACCAAAATATGTAGCTTAAACTCTTGATGGTGGAGTGTTCATCCATGTTGAGCCATGATGGTTAACCCATGTTGAGGTTCCGACCTGCAAACTGCCCTGCTCCAAAGCCGGGCATGCCGCTGAGGGTGCCCCCAGTGCCACTGGCAGCAGCACCAGCGCTGCTGCCAGCATGGCCCCAATGGCAGCCAAGTTGAAATGTCCTGTTTGCTGCTTGAAAACCTGTGGGCAATGGCAAACACTCTTGGCCTATTGTAAAAGGGCCTGTATAGGCTGATTGAGATTGCGCTGCGCCTTCCAAAGCCAAACTCCAAAGGGAACAGTTCTCCAATCCCACTACCGAACCCTTGCTGTTCTAATGAAAGCTGATCGGAGGGTTTTTTGATGAAAGCAGTGGAGATGCAACAGCTGCAACATGTGTGTGAATGTGTGTTCAATCCTTTGTCCCACCACAATCGCCAGTTCCGTCCATTCGTTTTATGCCCACTGGATGTTGTCATGGAATTTCTGGGTGAAACTGGATGCGAGATGCTGCGGCGCTCTTTTCTCGTGCCGTGCCTGAAGGATTTCCCAACCCACCGAACCACAATCCCGACGGAGAATGAAGGACGAAACAATGTTGAAACATTCTACGACCTAAATGCGGCATGTGTTTGAGAAAGCCCGTGATGCGGTGCGTATGGCGTGATAATGAACATTGCGCCGTCAGGACATGAGTGACGCAAAAATGTCTTCGTTTTTACACCATGAGTCTTGAAGTCCAGCCCCCCCTTCTAGACCGCTCACTTTCAAACTTCCTGCAACTTCCAGACAGCCCAAGCGGTGAACAAATTCGCGGCATTTCGCCGCTTGGCACCTCCATGCTCGGCTATGTCCATCCCAAATTCGGGACACATGCCAGTTGCCGGTTTCTGCCAGCAGTCACCAGTGCACCCTAGTGTATCCTGGTTCCTCTCCTCGACCGAGTTCACGACCTAGCGCGCAAGTGCTCCTCTTTCATTCTACGAATTGTTTCTCAGCAAATCAGTTCTCTCCTCAGCTTGCTTGCTCCACACATCGGACTCCCACAGATGTGCTGGAAAAAAAAGAATTATAGCAGAATGGCACTTCTCAATGTAAAGGTATGTAAAGGTCACTCAGGTCGCACTTTTTATCCAACACATTCCTGCGTAGTAGTGGAGCCTTTATCAAGCCTTCTTCATGGCTCCTACATGGCTCCCAGCTGTGAGAAAAAAACAACTAGTGCCTCTCAGTTGGACGCCTTGTTGGTGGTGGCAGTCTTGCTGAAATCCTCGAGCTGCTTCATTTGTTCCTTCAGACGGTCGTCCTTGCTCTTGGCATTCTTTGAGAAGGCAGCCTGTGCCTTCTCCACTTCTGCCTTCAGCTTGGCCTTCTTGTCCATCACAGGGGCGGCAGGGGCGTCTTCTGCCATCGCCACTTGAGGACCACTGGCGAGGCCTACCATGAGTCCCAGCACGGAAGCCATCGCAACAGCGCCGAAGGGGAAAGTGGAGGGTTCCTCGATCATCTCCACTCGCTGCATCTGCTCCACCTGGCTGGCTGAGCGCAAAGCTGGCCGAGGAGCGCCAGGTGCCACGAAGGCAGAGCTGGGCACCAAGGCGGCACTGAGGAGGATCACCAAGAAGCGCGACATGGCTAGTGCAAGCTCCGACTTTGAGCCAGCTGTGGTGGCTTCAGACAAAAAATGTCTGCAGTAATTACACCTGACTGGTGGTTACTCGCAGCACGTCAAGCTCCCAAGACTATCAACGGTACCTGTGCCTGCCATCAACACCGTCCTCTACAATTGAACTCCAACACTTGCTTACCAAGGCATAGCTTCACCATCAAGCACGAAGTGCCCTATCGCACCGGCGCTCAGCTGATTAAAGTTGCACAATGGCAGGTTCAGCAAGTCCACATGGTTTGTCTCAGAACCGCCGACGAGTTTCACATGGTTTGGGGTTCGTTACAAACATATGCGCTACACTGTCAGTAGCGCGTTCATCGCTATAAAGCTTTAGCTAGGGGGTTGCATTTTCGTTTGGGAACGGAACTGCATCACCAGGTCCAATGAAAGGCAAACAAGCGACTCCTCTCAACAGCCTATGTTTTCATACATCTTGGCTGCATTTGTATAATTTACTGCGACATATGCGCCCGCCGGCTGCAAGTGCAGTTTATGGTGCAAAACGGCTGCAAGTTAGTACATGCATATTTAATTTGGACACCCGACTGAAAAATGTACAATTATGTACAATTTCAAACGGGGTCGAAAAATATCGGAAAAATAATCCCCCACAAAAATCACACGGGGGAGGTCAGTCCTGGTCATTCTTTATTGAGTTCCTGGGGAATGATGAGTGTCAATTCCCTGGGAAATGGGGAACGCAGCATCATGCAGCAGTGTTTGGCATAACCTAGTGAGTCATTAGAAAATGACCCCAAATTCCAAACACACCCTTGGACCTGTGTTTGGAGCTGCTTCTTTTGAACCTGCGTTTGCAATTTTCTAGCGGATGCTCTGGTCCCTTGACGTGCGCTTGTCATTCTTTAGCGGGTCCTGCTTTAATACTGCTTTCTCCAAAACATCTAGAAAATGATGGGTTCTAGAAAATGATGGGTATCCAGCCAGGCCAATTCACTAGAAAATGATGGGTTCTAGGTCTTTAGCGCGTATTCCTCATTTTCTAGTGGGTTTGGTGTCTCGACCAGCACCCGGCACACCCAAATCCTCAAACACTGCCATATCCAGCCAGACCAATTCACTAGAAAATGATGGGTTCTAAGTCTTTAGGGCGTATTCCTCATTTTCTAGTGGTTTTGGTGTCTCGACCGGGACCTGGCACATCCAAATCCTCAAACACTGCCATACCCTACTCCACTTCGGGCACTTTAACCAGAAATGGAAAGGTAGGGTATCCAGCCAGACCAATTCACTAGAAA